GGGGGGGGGGGGGGGGGGGGGGGGGGGGGGGGGGGGGGGGGGGGGGGGGGGTCTAGATTTATGTTCAGCTTTTAATTTTGCTTTACATAATTCCCTTACGAAACTTATTTCCAGAACTGAACTGAAAAGGGATTCGAGTACTTTCCAGCACTGAAACAGACTCAATTGAAAGCGACGAGGCATCACCATACGACACAATAAAAGATTCAGTATATACACATAAATAACCTGATGGAGGCACGGCATCCCACAAGGAATAGTTGAGCAACCCAGCATGAGGGGTAAATGCCAAAAGCCTGTTGGCCCGTCGAGAAATTGGGTCCACAATTACGATTGCTCGCTCTCCGACCGTTGCTTTCACGTTGTTCCGATAGCCGTCCCAACGCACTCCCAGTGAGCTCACCATAACAACTGTATGCAAGAAAAATAAATGATAAAGACAAAAGTGTCTCCCATTCTTACGAACATTTTATACCAGCTGCTGCAAGCAAATTTAGCTTCATTCCAGAAAAAAATTGACGTCTATTCTCATACAAGGAAAGTTTTGATGGGAGCGGGGCAAATTTTGCAAAACAATTTTTGCTGCATTTTCATAAGCAGAAGCTTACCTTCGTCAACTATTTTATTTTTATATGATAGATTGCTAATTTATTCATTTTCATTGTTCGTCGAAGATGNTACAAGGAAAGTTTTGATGGGAGCGGGGCAAATTTTGCAAAACAATTTTTGCTGCATTTTCATAAGCAGAAGCTTACCTTCGTCAACTATTTTATTTTTATATGATAGATTGCTAATTTATTCATTTTCATTGTTCGTCGAAGATGCCTCTGCTATATTTGATTTTAGGGCACTGGTATGATATTACAGGACGTCAGAAGATTAAGTTCGAAGGTGAAGGCATAATTCGAGTTTATTATTTCAACTCATGCAGCGGCAGTCCATAAAAATTATTTTTTAATTGGCAAGGATGGGGTACATTTATTATGATATTACAGGACGTCAGAAGATTAAGTTCGAAGGTGAAGGCATAATTCGAGTTTATTATTTCAACTCATGCAGCGGCAGTCCATAAAAATTATTTTTTAATTGGCAAGGATGGGGTACATTTATCGAGAAATGCCATTTTAACCCAAATGTCATTTTTAAATTTTATAAATGAGGCGTGCTGAACGCTGATATACTTGTTCCAATGGTCCACGACATGGTCTGATAAGCCTTCGAAGCGCCCCAAAATTCGACTCTCAGATGATTGCCAGATCCTCCAAGGGATTCATCCATAAACAGTACTTCGGCCACGCAGGAATTCCCAGCAGAACCGCCTTTATTTAGACGTCTCACGACGCCAACCTGAAAGAAGAAAAAAAATACAACAAGAAATTATAGGAATGCTGAAAATCACCCAAAATTGTTATTTTATTGAATATTCTTCAGAAGCAATCTTCTTGGACCCGCCACTATTGGACAAATTATTTCGGGTATTCCGATTTTAATGCCCTTCATTTGCCAAGTCCGTGGTTTCTTTTCGTATTAAGCACGTGTCGCATGAATATTGTGTCATATTCGTTATAGGTAATTGTAATGTAAACAGAAGAAGTCCTTTTATTAATCTTCTACAACGAAATTTTTAGTTCAACGCATTTTTTCACAGGCCCTTGGATATTTAACTGCAGCGTTCTCTTTTCCGGTCAGGGTATCGATTCGGGCGACACCTGCCTGACACTGTTGAAGGTAACAGCATTGTTCATCATCGAGGTAATTTACTGTATACAGTACAGTATATGAAAGGGGGAAGATTTTATCTCTGAAAGGGCGTTTCATCGCTCGTATATTTCATCGAATGAGTTAATCAGAAAAAAATATCGGTTATTATTCATCGTGGAAATTTCTCGGCAGCATTTCCGGTATATTTCTATTTTTTGCTATCAAAAAAATCTTTCTTGCCTGCTTCACAATTGCGAGTATATTCATAATCCGGGTTTCCTCGAGATCTGCTTTGCCAAGAGCCAGGATTTCACTTAAAGAAGTGACGTTTACATCAGGTTGCGTCGGGATGCGAAGGAAATTGACAAAGCGTTGCGTGTCTCCTGTGAATTCCAGGACGAATCCACTTCCTTCCCGAACAGTCAGATTCACCTCACTAGCTTAAAATAAGTCAAGGGATACATGGAAAATGCAAAAATTATTAGAGTAATTTCATTGATTAAAGTTTTGTAAGATCGACCTCGTCGTGGCTGGTAAATACTGGCGTGCTGAGGAATTCCGACCGTTGGAAATAACATCCGGATGGTCCACGATGACTTGGCGGAAACAAAAGAAGCATATACACATGAAGAAGCAATTTTTTTTTGTCCAAAATGAAATTGTAACGCTTTTTTTTTACCAATACTGCCGAGTTCGGTAATGCAAAAAACGTCTCCGGTGAAGCGAGCGGTTCCTTTAACCGACACGTTGACTGTATCAACGACGGAATCGCGTAAGACGAAGTTGAAAGCAGAAAAATCCATTCCTCCTCTGCCTGGAAAAAATAATGAAAAATTACAATTTCCATATTTTAAATCTCTGCATTTTCTTAGACACATATTATTTCGTAGATTGAAACATAGAATATCGAATTTAATGGGATTTGTGCATGAGAAACACGTCCATCACATTCAGATTTAAGAATCGGAGGACGAGTCCATATATATAACCTCAATCATTATACTCATAATTTGGACAGCAGATTAATAATAAAATAGGAAAATAAATCTCATGCTTGTTCGCAATAAATTGACACGTGATACATTTTAAAGATCTGTTTTCTCGAATTTGAGATTGAATTTTCATTCCAAAAAAACAATCATGAAATTTACCAGCGGATTTAAGACGTCATATCGAAGCAAACACACGAATAAAACGTCAACGAATTTGAGAAACCCGCTGGTTCATTTATGATACAATTTTATTCATGTGGAATTAAATTTGAAGTATGCGACTGTTCGAATTTTATTGAGGAATCATTACTGAGCATTGACAGCAATGAAAATCGATTATCTGGATAAGAGACGTTTATTTCACAGTGAAGTTTTTTTTTTTTAAACAGATATGATTTGTGCAAACGGTCAAGAAATTTTATCAATATCATAGAAATGCATTAGTCAGATCTTATATTTCCCAAAAGCTAGAATTCTCTACTATCGAAGCATCACTGGTCATATTCCGACATCTAGATGAAAAAATAAGCGACAAAGTCTTTTGAAATATACAATTAATCCAAAGGTGTTGTCGGTTCATTCGCAGAAGAAATCTCTTCGAAAGGATAGTCTTCCGGGAATTGTC